ATCATCATCATCATCATCATCATCATCATCATCATCATCATCATCATCATCATCATTATTATTATTATTATTATTATTATTATTATTATTATTTATCATTATCATCATCACCATCATCATGAAAATCTCATAAATTGGCCTTGGCAGTCTAGACAGTGTGAAAATTAATGGGTTATAATTGTAATAATAACCATATGACTAGACACAGTATGAAAGTATAAAAAAAAGCACAGTAATATTAAATCTGGCTATTTGAGTACATAGGCCGGCGATATAATATTACATGTGTTGCTTGTAGCAATTGTGTGCCCCTATATAAGTAATGATTCTGAAGGATAAACGTTCAGAAATTCTCTCGGAGACAAATTGTGAGTACTTCGGACACAGTAATTGTTAACTTACAATTTTACAATTAAAAATTGCTATGAAAATTAACAGACAGGGAGCGTATCTACTGTATTCTTTTGCATGGCTCATTGGCTGGTAAAAGTTAAGAATTTTTTTTGTAGAACTATGTGTAAATCATTGAAAATTCTATTTTTTACTTCCGTCTGTTTTTGATCGTTTTAAATGAGATATTTAATTATTAATTTTATATTTAGGTAGACAGCCGGAAACACAACGTCATATGGCCACTGATGAATAACTTCTGTTTATAATAATATATGCTTGCTATATAAGTCTAGACCTATTACTTTTATATTTTATATTATTTTATTATATTTATTTTATATTATATATGAAAGTAATGAACATTAAAACAATACATACTCCGAGCATTTAAACGTGACAGGCCTATCCTTCAGAATCAGTAGTACTAAGCCTATGTTATAACACTACAGCAGGTAATTCACAAAATGTTTACTCTGCAAAAATGTCTTTATAGCATCAATGGAAATCGATAGAGGACGGCAAACAACATCATGAATCCCGCCAGTTCACATTTTGTGCACTGAATCATGTACTGTTAGGCCTAGAATGGAAACATCTTACATCAGACAACTTTAGACAACTTTGTAGGGCATCTGGCAAAAAATAAAGATAAATTCACTAGCATTTTTTTTTATTTGTAAAGAAAAAAGATTTTTAAAAAATCCACCATTTTTAAAGTTTTTTTGTTTTGTTTAATTGCCGCCCGCCCTTATTTTTTCAATGAGTTAGGGGAGACTGAGGAAGGCCAATAAACATTTTTTAGGGCTCATCACAACATAGACTGTAATTTAAATGCAAGAACCCTATCCCCTTAATAGTGTTGTCCCCTACTAGGGGTACCCCTATTTAGGAACACTAACCGAAAATGTTTATGGATTATATACTTTAATACTGTACCAACAAGTTTGATAACGATTGTTTATAATAATTGTGAGCCCTCAAAATTAAGCCCACGTAAAGTTGACAAACTGATGCTTATCAGCGACTGGATTTCTTTCCTTTTTTACATTAAAATGGGGGATATCATGTTACAGCTTTCTGTTTTGTTTAATACAATTTTAACTTTAGTAATAAGTTACAGCTTTAACCAAAAAAAAATCGTATTGCTAATGATGATATCCCTGTTTTTTTCCCCCTTATTCGAGTGTTATTTCAAAGTATATCGTATAATTTTTATCTATTGTTGTAAATTTGTTATTTTCCCTGTTTTGTAATTTTTATAATCAATATGTTTTTATAATTGATAAATTATTTATTTTATCAATCTTGTAATTCTTTGTATAAATGGAATGTAAATATAATCAATATAATTATGTTTTTATAATTAATATATTTTGTTATCAATCTTGTAATTTCTTGTGTAAATGTAAATTCTTAATTGTAGCAAAATTCTGATGTAAGTACTAAATTTATTTTGTATTGTAACTAATTTTGTTTTTTACTATTATTATTATTATTATTATTATTATTATTATTACTATTATTATTATTATTATTATTATTTTTATTATTATTATTATTATTATTAATAATAATAATAATATTATTATTATTATTATTAATTGTTGCTGTTGTTGTTGCTGTTGTTGTTGTTGCTGTTGTTGTTGTTGTTGTTGATGTTGTTGTTGTTGTTGTTGGAAAAAAATGTTTTTGTTTTCTAGGTGCTCGAAAATGCATGACTTTCCTGACTCTGGTCAATGTGATATTCACAAGAGTGAGGATTTTTAGAAAATACCGTAGTTAATAATGTTTCCAAGTTGCTGGTTGGTTGAATAATGATCCAATTTTTGTTTTACATATTCATATACAATTAGGCCCTAAGTGTCAGACCTCAGATAAGTTTCTTAGGTCGTTGCTAAATTTGCCAAAATTATACGCATAGCACGTGTGCTAAAGGGTATTAATGATATACCAGATAGCATAGTCATGCCAGGTGTTCACTATGGAAATCGTATTATGAATTAGAAACTGGGTGTAGTCTACATAGGCATAAACATCTTTTTCCTACACTCGTTCACTATGCAATGTACGTGGTTTTCTTCAAAGCCGATGCTGCTCGTTTATTTATTTATTTATTTATTTGAACATGCACCTTCGAAACGGTGGCACTCAACAATAATTGGTGCGTTCTCAAAGTAAATGAAATAAAAAGTACAAAAACAATACAAAATAGTTGAGTAGTTGGAAAAAAAATCATCTGTATTAAGTACAGAAGGCTTACCAGAGATAAAAAGTTTAAAATGAGACTTAACTAATAACAACATTATCCAATATTCTTGGATATAAACAAAAGGGATACAAAACAGCAATGTAGATAAGAACTAACAAAAATAAATATGCCTATTTAAAGCAACGGTACATCAATTAATTATTGGAATTTAAAATTTCATTACGCATTTTCCATGCTCGTTTAACATACCTTTTGCAGAACATATCAAAGATAACTTCACTTTCTTTGTCAAGGAATAAGGATGCACAACTCAAAGTATATTGTAGTTTAATATTTTTGTTTGCATTGAAAAAAATCATTATATATATATTTTGGTTGTTATGACGACTTAATTCAAATTTTAATTTGTGCAATTCATCGATGCGTATGCTATTTATGGCTGGGCAACTAAAAATAAAATGTTGGATATCTTCATCAACATTTAGGTTACAAATGCCACATTCCTTATTATTATTTATATTCCAATTTGAGGTTCTAGCATTTAATGGCAATGTATTCGATCTAAGTTTGAATTTTAGTGCAACACCTTCAAAGTCAGTTTTGTCGATAAGATAATTTTCATGTTTTGGTTCTAGTTTCAGGGTTGCATATTCCTGCAGGGATAATTTGTTTTGTAATCCCGTTCTCCATTCATTTATCATAATATTGTTTATAAAGAACAATTGAAGGCTCCTGGATTAGACAATATAACGAATGAGTTGATTAAAAATGGTGGCGATACGCTCATCAGATCCTTGCTAGAATTGTTTGTAAACATTTTAAGTGTGGAACGGATACCATGGTGACTGGAAGTCCACACACTATCGAATGCTTTTCGAAAATCCTGGAAGGCAAGGTATATGTTTTTACCCTGCTGGAGACGGCAGGTTGTTATACTCATAATAATATGTTTAATAATAAGAGTAACGATAATAGTATTAAGTCTAAAGGTAATACAAATGATGGGGCTGATCAACACGACCTTGGTATAACCCTTTGGGAATCATACCAAGACGTAACTTCGATAACTTTAATAGAGTTTATTATGGAGACATCTTATGGCGAACAATAGGTCTCCCATCGATTAATTATGGTTGTGCAGTATGGTGTTCTTTAAGTAGAATTGATATTAATAAACTAGAGCGCCTTCAACTGCAAATGGCACGCTATATTCGCAAAGCGCCTAGGAACACACCTTGTGCAGCACTTTATGGTGAACTCGGATGGTCTCCCATCACTGATCTTCATAATATTGCACATGTAAAGTACTTCAGTCGATGACAGATTTTTTTTTTTTTTTTTGGCAAACCTGCTCGCGACAACTCAACGCAAAAGTTTGGTGATCACACTTTTGGGTCGCGACCAATAGTTTGGGAAGCATGAAGAGTGCTAAAAAAAAAATCAAAAAAATGAATAGGGCCTAAACACCAAGGGGCGCTTATTTAAACGGGGCGCTTAAGAAAATTTCACTTTAGAATGGGCTTATTCCAGAGGGGCGCTTATTCGCGCGAGTACGGTACAGGACGTACTGTACTTTAAATTGGAACACAATGTGAGTGTTCACGCGTTTTGCGTTCGCAGCAAATACACGACCACATTGGAACGCAACAATAAAACAAAAATGGCTGCGCTCTCGTGTGTACGGAGTTGTGTTACCTTTTTTTGAGTCTTAACTTTTTTCACCTTCTCAGTAACGTAAGTGCTTTTACTGCTCAAATTATCTTTCTTCTTTGTAATAAAAGGCTTACAAATAGCTAGGACTATGTCAGGGCCTAGCCTAGCTAGGCCAAGGCCTAGGGCCTAGGCTAACCTACCTACAAACACCAGGCCCAGGCCCAGGTAGGCTAGGGGCCTAGGCCTCCTCTCTGCTAGTAGTAGTAGTATGTATGAAGATATTATTAGGTACTTAATTTCTTGCTCTTTATTGTAATTTATTATTATATAATTATAAATATTACGTTAGTTAGATAGACACCCACTGCACTGGCCTATAAAAAAGGGGTTTAAATTTTCTGCAGCCTATCAAATCAACATATCCCAAATAATAACCGTAAAGTGTAGGGTGTAGAAAGATAAGAAAACGGAAAAAAAAAAAAAAAAAATTATAACAGACCTAACTAAACCAATTGACGAACTTGATATTTAGATTTTGCCTTTCGCAACTCCATTGGCGCACCATTTGTTCAAAATAAAGCGCGACTCTGGCGCACCATTTGTTCAAAATAAAGCGCGACTGAAATGAAGTGCGGCCAAAGATCTAAATTATCTGTATCAAAGAATATAAATAGAACAAGAACCATACAATTTGATGATGTTATGCTCCTTTTTTTTATTTATAATATTTTTATATTAATGTATAATTATTTGTAACTGTATATAATATAGGAGCCTATTTTAATATTATTATTTCTAAAATTTTAAAAATTTTATAGTTAGGCCTATTTGAATATGCCATGGTTATTGATCCGACACCGGAAGTATACCACCGCGTTCTTCATATAAACTTTTACTGCTCAAATTATCTTTCTTCTTTGTAATAAAAGGCTTACAAATAGCTAGGACTATGTCAGGGCCTAGCCTAGCTAGGCCAAGGCCTAGGGCCTAGGCTAACCTACCTACAAACACCAGGCCCAGGCCCAGGTAGGCTAGGGGCCTAGGGCCAGGCCTCCTCTCTGCTAGTAGTAGTAGTATGTATGAAGATATTATTAGGTACTTAATTTCTTGCTCTTTATTGTAATTTATTATTATATAATTATAAATATTACGTTAGTTAGGTAGACACCCACTGCACTGGCCTATAAAAAAGGGGTTTAAATTTTCTGCAGCCTATCAAATCAACATATCCCAAATAATAACCGTAAAGTGTAGGGTGTAGAAAGATAAGAAAACGGAAAAAAAAAAAAAAAAAAAATTATAACAGACCTAACTAAACCAATTGACGAACTTGATATTTAGATTTTGCCTTTCGCAACTCCATTGGCGCACCATTTGTTCAAAATAAAGCGCGACTGAAATGAAGTGCGGCCAAAGATCGAAATGATCTGCTGTATCAAAGAATATAAATAGAACAAGAACCATACAATTTGATGATGTTATGCTCCTTTTTTTTATTTATATATTTTTATATATGTATAATTATTTGCAACTGTATATAATATAGGAGCCTATTTTAATATTATTATTTCTAAAATTTTAAAAATTTTATAGTTAGGCCTATTTGAATATGCCATGGTTATTGATCCGACACCGGAAGTATACCACCGCGTTCTTCATATAAAGAGTTAATGTGTATTTTTTAAGTAGTTTCCCGAACTCGAGCCTGTAGATCCCATCCTTTTGCATCTGTTTTCTTGTGTTTGATTATGCATGTGATGAGACGCAATAAAATGATTAAAGAAGGGTTAGGCTTTACTAGGCCTAGACCTCTCTTTCTGGTAGACCTAGATAGTAATACAGTTTAGTAGGACTAGGCTAGAAGATTGCTAAAACTCGTCAGTGAGCATCACACCAATTGGGTCAGAATCACAATCTGTTGGTTGCCATGAAAGTGAATAATTATTAATTGGTTTGTGTATTTGAATTATGACTGAAATATCCTAATATGCAGTAACCAACAAAAAGTTAAAAAGAAAGTGAGAAGAGCAGCCCCAATTCCAAATCAAGACCTACACTAAAATAAACCCTGCCCAGGCCTAGGATTGAATTGTAAATTAAATATAATAATTCTATATATTTTTGTTTTCCATTAATAGGTAAATTTTGTAGGATACGTGGAGAGATGGTGAATCACATTGATTGGCTCTTTATTCAATAATAGTATTGTTACAACAGACAAAACCATGTCTAGATTAACAAGTGCTCTGAACATTCTTCACAATTGTTCAAAGGTAAACAAAGCTGTTATAAAATTTTTGTAAGTAATGGTAGGCCTAGCTCTAGGTAAAATAACTTTTCTGAAGATCCTTTTGAAAAACTGTATAATAGTTACATACTGTAGGCTACAGTAGCCTGTTTAACAGCCAAACAAATTGAGGCTTATAAATAAAAGATACTGTGGTCACTTACCATCATTAATAAGATGGTAACATCAGGCCCTACCCAAGTTATCCTGAGCTCATGATAATATGCATTTATAATTTTATTCTTCCATAATGCGAGATGAAACAGGCATATTTTTTTTATTCCTCAGACTAACTTGCTGCAACACAATTGCCATTATTTTTCTGGTTGTATTAACGCTAGCAGACATCCCATTTGGAGTAGTTTTAAACTCGCAAAATCATCATTTCATAGTTTAACATCCAGACATGTGACATCCGTGCAGATGCCAATTTTCAATAAACAACAAAAGAAGCATGTAAAACAAACATTGCTCTGTGGTGAACTGTCGCAGATTACACACCCTTCAATCACTTTCACACGAGGATTTAAAGTGGAGATATCCGACGCGGCAGTCAGCAATATATATATTCCAACCCCAGTGGAAACTTGCTACGAACTGTTAGAAAACTTTCACGACATGTACGGACTTCCATGGTGGTTCACGATCGTGGCTTCAACATTTGCGCTAAGATTTGCTGTGATCATGCCACTAGCGATAATGCAACAGAGAGTGATGGCAAAGATTGAGAATGTACAAATTGAAATCAACACGTACGCCGAACAATTAAAACAAAAGACGGCAGTAACTGCTAAAGAAAATGGCTGGTCACAAAGGAAAATGGCCAATGTGTATAGCAATCAGGTTGGTTGGTCGGGTATAAGCCAACCTGGCATGCGTGTAGCGCCCCCCTTCCCAGCGACGTAAAATTTGTTCCACTAAGTGGGTTAATATACTAAATATGACGATTAAGTTTTCATTGGAATAGGGATTAGATTTTTTCGCACACCCATGCCGTTTCACACCCCCAAGACCAACACCAACCCACACCCCTGCCAGGTATAAATCCATCCCCTAACTTATTTGAAACATTTTTATGCATTATGGTCCACCTGGATATAGGTGCATAGAACGTCTAAACTGTCTAAACTTTGTGTCCGATATCGTCAATCATTATTACAATATTTGGAGGGATTATTTTTTCGTTATAAATATAATAAAATAATAAAATTTTGATTTTGACAGATTTTGTTGTAACAATTTTATTTTAAGATTTCTAAATTTGTGAGAAATGTCCACATGAGGGAGAACTGCAGACCGATGAGAATGACGTACGTTTCCATTGCGCAGGCATTCATATGGGTTACTATGACAACAGCGATTGGGCAGATGACTGGAGTACATCCTTACATATTTGGCACAGGTAATTGATGAAATTGCTTGAATTTTTTGATCAAAGTGATAAATTTTAAATTAAAATATCAATGATTTTTAAACTGAGATATGAACTTATGTAAATTTAGCTACCAATGTATACACCAATTTTTTTTATTTCCTTGATTACCTTTTCAGAAGTGGATATTGATTTCCTACCAGCGTTGATGACAGAGGGTGTATTATGGTTTAAGAATCTAGTTCAGCCTGATTTTATTTTACCGTTTTTGTTAGGAGCATCTAACATTTCACTGGTAATGGTAAGTAAATCTCAACCCCGATTAATTCACAAATTACCTCTTCACTAAGTCCTGCCTCTTAGATATTGTTGCTAATGCAATACACAAACACATGCATTTGTGGAACAACATGTGTTTGTAGGACACGCCCATATTCCTGGCACCGTTATGATTGGTCAGTTGTTTATACTTGATTGACATTCTTGAAAGGTCCACCATTGTTGATTCTTTTTGATGTATTTTCTCTTAACATTGTATTATACTAATCTGTCTCTCCATTTGAATTTGTGATTTTTTTCGTCTACAGTTATGGTCTTTACGCCGTGGTCCCCTTTCAAGAACACAGCATCGATCACAATTTTCACTTTTTGCTATTTCTGCCGGCCTTGTACCAGCAGCAGTGACCATGCCAACAGTGAGTATTTATAGTGGTTAATAGCTACAGGTCACTCTGTAGTTTTAATAATTATTGAATTATGCTTAAAAATGAAGAGAAATGTAAGTGTAGGCACAGTGAGTCGCTTGGCTCCTTGAATAATCAAGTCAGGATAATGAACAATGTATTGGTTACATGTTGCTCCAAGGGACCATGAGCCAAGAAATGCATGTCACTTTAACAAGACTTGAACGTTGTTTCATTTGTTTTCTTTTAGGCCGTGACTTTGTACTGGACAGTTTCAAGTATGTGTGGTCTTGCGCAATTCTTCATTCTTAGGATCCCTTCAGTAAGGAGACTTCTTTATATTCCACTGTCATCAAGTGAGATGAAGAGACCTCTACAGGAAATGTTACAGATATTCAAAATCCGATACCAATCTAAGAAATATTTTTAAGAATTAATTCAGGTCTTAACGAGAGTGCATGTAAAGAAATCTTAAATCAACATTACAATACTTCAACATATAGATATGGCAGTATCTTCATCATTGACAAATACTCATGTGTTTTTGCGGGACTTAACTGAAGTCCTGTAGTTCGTCTATATTTAGATGGAGCTGAACAAAAAATTTGTCCGTCTACAGTAGACAGAGCTATAAAAAATGGAAATCTAAAGATGCTCCTTTTACGCTGTATGGTAAAAGCATAGCCTCCTTACGTTTTAGTTTTGATATGACATGAAAAAATATTACAATTCCACCTAATAATTTTTTTTTAAGGGGTGGGGGGAGAGAATGATGATGTGCTAAACTGTAGTAATCGTGGTGACAAACAATTGAAGAACATAGGCAAAAACAATAGCCTCCCTGGAGCTTCACTCCTTTGGAAAGGCTTATTAAACTCCTAAGATGAAAATTCATGTACATACAGTATTTTCTTCATTAACAGCAATTTGTCGCTCTCTACAATAAAGTTTTCTGACAAAGAATCAAACTCGTATACATTTTCAGCAATTTATTTCTTTGACATAGAAGTTAAATTCTTTATAAACAAATTCAACTAGAGGTGAAATTTAAAAGTAATTACGTCATTTTTTAAAAATGAAAGTGCTATAACACTTTAACTGACACCTAAGAATAGTCATTAGGATCTGAAACAGTTTATATACTTAATGTGTAAAATACACTTTGCACACACGTGTTAAATTTAAAGATTTTGAACCAAACAAAATCTTTCATCAAGCTCATTTTTAATGTACTGTACAAGTAAATTGTTATAAGGATAATAGAGTGCTAACGCCCATGCACTAAATCCTGAAAAAAAAGGGGAGCATGGTCTTCATAAGGCGCGACTTTTTTTATACCTTGTTTAGCCAACCCACCGACTGCAAATATTGATGATTTCAAATAATAAAATTTTATTTTAGCTTATAAGCGCACCCGCCGCCACAAAGAAAGTGGAAATTTCAGAAAAAAACAAATGTTTTTTTAAATTTTTATTACACCCTCCGCTGCCATGAAATCGCCAAAGATATGTATATTTCTTCCTAATTATATAAATTTGGAGCATTTAACCATCCTATTTTACATCCTCCAGTAAAATTTTATTTTTATTATCTCCTATGCCTTGATGATTTTGGCAAAACCATTTGCTAAATAAGAAAACAAAATTTTATCTTTATGATAATCTTTAAAAAAAATAAGTATGCGAAACCAAGGAATAAAAAAAGTTTCGCCTAATAAATAATATGCCATATTTATATAGCACATTATGGTAAACAGAGCCTTTTAAACACTTAACACTGCTTTTTCAAGCCATGTCAAAGACTATCAAAAACATGTGACATATATGCCTAAATATGGTCATGATGACATCACACCATGACTATATATGGGCATACATTTTTTTGTCAAAGAAAATGTAATAAGGTGGATAGAACTTAACTCCTGTCTTTGGATTAAATACCCACAGAATGCATTAATCTGATCTTCATATAATAAATGTCCACTAGTGTATTATATTCAACTATTTCAATTGCTTAATAGTAAACAGTGCATTGTCATACAAGGTTACCAGGTACCTGCTTATACACCTGGGTGGAGGGAGACAATCGTAGGTAAAGTGACTTGAAATCAACACAAGCGTAATGCACAGCGAAGGTTCAAAACCTTTGACCTCAAATTTGAATTGCGCCAAACTACATACATAACAAGGCTCAACCTTCTAATAAAAGCCCAATGAACAATATTGCCGTAATACGACGCAGTTGTGCAGCGATTTCTGATGTACAGGTGATTTTAGGCATCTCGACTAGTTAGCACTCTATTATACTTATAACTCTAAATGTTTGTATTGTCAAAACATATGTATTTTGACAACATTTTATGGTTGTTGATATCTATAGCCTCTTAATAATCAGTGGAAATGATTAAAGAGAAAAGTTCACACTATGTCAAAAAACAGTTAAGTGCAGTATTCTGTACTTAACATGGAGCTAATCAAGTAGGTTCATACTTATGTATTTCCAAATGATCATGCATTCTTTTTCACCCAAAAATTTAATGGGTTTTCATCGGTAAAATAGTACAAAAAAATACTTAACAAGACAACCTGCAATTCTTAAATTGTTAGACTATAAAACTCTACCTATATAAGTCAAAAACGACGTAAGACAAATTCACAACAAACATAAACGATTTATAATAAATAGTGGTAGGGTTATGTACAAGAAATTCAATCCTTCAATTTGGTATAATTTTTTTTAAAGAAAACAATAAAATATGCTTAAAATAGTTGAGTAACAATGAACGATACTTGTCATATAAAATGACATGTCATTTTGAATGTCTTGGTTGACCAATACGATGACTTCTAAATTCAAGGCCTACTATATAGAGGTGATGAGGGAGTTGATAAAATCAATACTGTAATACTATTCTTCACAGGGAACAGAGAACAACAATTTTTGTTCCCATTTTCAACACATTGACTGCCGTAATGCACATGAATATACTGTACTTTACTTCCAACTAACCATTCTAAAATAATTTTAGAATGATGCTGACTTGAGACATCACCATATTATTTAATTTACAATCCACAATAAGATACACGGGCAGGCAAATTATAATATGAATATTCATAGATATCAGCAGTCAGTGTATTAAATTTACAGGGCGTGTTCCTTTAATTAATGGCACTAATATAGTACACAGATGCTAGATAACGTGGAACATGTATTTAGTTTTTAGGAGTAGAAGGGAAGAATTTTTTTTTTAATACAGCAGTTAATACAACTCAGTCTCAAAATACAAGTTTATCTGTTGGGGTTCATTCCTAACCATAGTACTGATTATTTTTCTTAACTTTTACTAGTGGATTCAAACATGTTATACATACATTTCTAATATATTATGATTTGCATCAAGGGTATGGCTTTTACTGTACTTAATTGAACCATCTGATTACTTGGGAGGATAGATGGAAGGGGGTAACCATGTTACCCCCTATATTCCACTGAAACTTAAATACAAATGATGAGGTAACTGTAAGCAGAGGATGATCGAATTAAGTGTGTTCAAACTGCTACGCTAATGTAACAGAAGATTAGCTTGGGAAAGTTTTAAATACTGTACACTCACGGACCCCACACTAGCTTACGCCAGTGAGTCAGTCACAATGGCGGCACCAGTGGGGGTCTGGGGATCGTCCAGAACACTGGTCTGAAAATAAAATTTTCAGAGTCAAAAATTTCCATTTCCAGGCATGTTGAGGCATCTATACTTTAAATTCACTGATATCAGCTCCAACCACGATGGGACTAAGGTGGGTCTGGAGACTGTGCAGGACTTTGACCTCCTCGTTGAGGAACCTCTGGCGCCACCAGTTAGTCACGCATTAATGATTTTCCTTACCCTATACCAGAATCAAATTGCTTAAGCCTGAAGCAACTGGGTGTGGACAACCTTGGTTGATGCACCAAATTAGATTCCTTGCGCACCTTTTGGGAAGTCAACAGTATCAGTTTGTTTAAGATGTCGTATTTTTGTAGAAAAAATTTTAAAATTCAGCCAGTAGTAAGTTTCAGTAATTTGTCATCAACGGTTTGATAATGTGTGTTCATAGATGTTACCAAACGACAAACTAGATATTATCCGCGTCAAAAACTCTCGTTTACCTGGTTTCATACGATGCAAATTGTTAAGAAAATCTTGGAACTGGTTCGCCCCGCATGGCGACATAAGGAACGCACTCTGTGCGTTGCGCATGATTGTGAGAACCTCCTCGTATTCGTGTTGGCTCATGTTGTTCATACGTTGATGAATGCATTGCATGTACATCTGCTGGCATTTCTGGATAATGTGTGTTAGCGTCGGTGATCGTAGCGTGTTCTGTAACGGCGTGTGATGGACATTCGAGAGGAACTGAGCCGCCTCAGTTACAATCTCTTGTAGTACATACGGACTGAAGATTATATTTGGAACACTGAAACAGTATTGTTGAACATGTGATGCACCTGAGAAAAACAAGAAATTCACATTTATAATAATATGAATTGTTTTAAGAGTGCGAAGACAATGAAGGCTCTTAATATGTAACTAATATAACAGCAATACTGTAAATTCCCACATGTAGGTTCCCACAGTAAGACGAGGCTTAAATAGAAAATTACGATAAAAAAAATTAAAAAAATGGGGGTTGTCTTATACGCCCAACACATAAAAATTGTTTATTTTTTTATTTTTATTTTTTTCATTTATTTAAAAATTCAAGATTGAAATGAAGAGCTTACAATAGAATCAATAAAGTAAAAATACAGAAATATAAAACAATTAATACAAAGATTAAATCATAATTCATGTTATGGTGTTATTTTTCACGAATCACATATTACGTGGGAATCATCTGTAACACACGAATGTACTACTGAAATGAAGCTACTATCTGTTAGTTTGATTGAATGCAATTAATGCGGAGAGAATTTAATGAACATTTTAAAGCCCATGAAATGGTATCATATGGTTCCATTTTTAGCCAGCTAGATGCTGTATCGAGACCATAAAATGCAGCAAAATATAGGAATTCCAATGAAACTGTTTCGTCTTACAGAATATGCCCGACATATAAAAATTGTCAAAAAATCTTCTCAAACTTGGGGGATTGTCTCTATACGTGGATCACATTATACGCGAATATATTTGGTACTGTTGTATAAATTAGCCCACAGGTAATCATTAAGAACATAATACATGACAAGCTAGTAATTCTGTGTTACACTGGCTCTCTTGTTTGTGAAGTAGAATTAAGTACAAAAACAGCTATAATCTATATTCAGCATAAGGTAACACATGCCTACCTAGTTTTTTGGCTATACCAAGAAGCCACTTCACGTCCTCACCATACGGAGGATTCCGGGAGAATCGTGACTGGTAACGTTCATCGTGAACACGCCTTGCTAGGGTATCCATTGCCAGCATACCTACACGATATGTATGAAGAAGGTAGTATTGGCTCTGATGTGGAACAACAGGTGCAGGGACCAAAGCTGGCGACCCACCTCTCGCTACCCTTCCAGGAGCTGGAAGCATAGCGGGAACAGGTGGTGCACCACCAACGTACTGGTGAAGGTTTGGGTTCGGGCCGACCATTGCTCTTGATGCAAATCCACTAGGAATAGCTACGTACGGATTGGAGCATGGCGGATAAGCAGGGACACCCCAGCCTGGCATAGCTTGGGATGTAGGAGGCTGGTTGTGGGGAATGAAGCCCGGTCTAGCTGGATGGTAAGGTGGATGAGGAGGATGTGTTGGCCTAGGTCCGTACTGTACAGGATAGGTATGGTACAACGATACTGGAATAGGAATGACGGGTTCATTGTATGGCGGTATCGGAGGGTGCATCCCATGTGCGGCTACCGCTGCCGCTGCCACCATGTTATCCTCGGGCGGAGAGCTAGCTTCGTCATCACGGTGATGCTGTGTTTGGTTGTGAAGCCACTCCCAGTGTTTACCAACAGTGAAGAGCACGTCGGGGTAGACATCGCCTCCTTTGGCAGCATTCTCTACTGCTAAACATGCTTTACTCAACATGTTGACATCCTGTTCCTTACACTGCAAGATATGTAACAAATTATTTTAAACAAATTATACAACTTAAACTGAAAGGTCCACTGATTAACCTCAGATAAGATAGTATAATACATACTCCAAGTATCGAAATGCATGCCATCATTTTGGGATTGAATATTTCAACATTACCTGATGATGATATAATTAATGTAATTAAATGTGTAATATTTAATCCCGACACAATGGCGTGCATTTCGATACTTGGAGGATGTATTATACTATCTTTTACAACTTACAAGCCATATTTAAACATTCAATTATATGTTTATATAAACTGCTGATTATAGGGAATTTTCAACAATTTCACTCCACATACACTGCATATCAAATTTCTTTCTATCTCCTCTTTTGTTAATCATGGATCATGTACATACAATCTGTGTGGTACAAACAAATCCAATGCCAGCATGCCTACACATTTGGTACAGTGCAAGTGTGGAACAACCAGTTGCAGCAACCAATGTTGGCAACATGTCTAACTACACTTCCAGGAGCTAGAGGCATAAAACATATAATATAACAACAAAAAAAACCCAGAAATACTGGAAAATAAAGTAGTCGAAACAGATGCACTGTCATAGGTGGATTTCAGCCTACCCAGGGCCCCCTAAATTTAAAAAAATAGAAAAAATAGGAGGAATACGAAAATTACACTGAAAAGTCCAAGATTGTGATTTCTGGCCATCTATAGATATCAAATTAAGTAACTCTGTTCAAACATGGTAGGACTGTGGTAGCCTGGACCCTCCAACTGTAAAATGGCATTTCATGGGCCTCCTCTAATTCAGGTTCCTGGATTCGTCACTGACTCTCACCTGAAGCAAGGCCCTGTTGACATCCGAGGGATTTAAAGCGTGGGCATGTGACAGACACGATAGAGCTAGCTCAGCAGCAGCCTGGACCATCTGGGGATCTCGACAACGCGATGCACGATCAGCTATTGCCGCAGCTTCTGCAGGGGTCAAGTGTCCTTCCCAGTAATTGACAAGAATGTTGATACCGCCACTACCCAACTCTAATGCTTGACCTGAAATCAACCATAGCAACAATATTAGTATATTTTTTCTTTGCAGTTTTCATTTTGTTGTCTGCAGTTTTGTTCAACTTCAATCAGTGGTATTGTTGATGGCAATAAAGTTTTACACTTTTACAGTTTATTTATTATGGTATCTTACATTTTTATATCTATCTATTTTTTTTTAAATCAATCCCGTGTAGAATTTAGAAACCAAAAACTACCTTTAGAAATAATTAATTAATTTACTTTTAGAAATAAACAACACTAAATGCATATCCAGGAACACCAGACATGTACAACAGTAGGCCTATATAAATGTATATATGATTATTTTAATCTTTTATATTAAGTACACTATTGATATTTATAATGTGTTTGAAAAGTATATTTGTGTTTTGATATGAGTGATTTTGCCTTTTACAAGTTTCCATGAGGACAAATAAATTCTGAATCTGAAAAGGTATGATAATGTAAACCTATTTCATAAAGTGAAGAAATAGCATAGACATCATTTGATGTGAAGGAATGAACATACAGTATCAACAACATCCTTAATGATCAATGTAACTTACTTCTGATAAAAGACTCGTAAGCAGAATATGTCCGCGTCAGCCAGTTTGGTGAGACGGCATTGTAAAGGCTAAGCGCGTAGAACCCGACCTCAAAGGCTGTTAGCAAGAGTCCACGATGCGGTCCAGACTGGTTGTTGTTTGCTGGGTTCTGAGTGAAGTGTGTTGGACTGGAATTCCCTCCAGCTTTTGTCACTATCGTCTTGGCTAGCTCAAGGTAAAAATGAGCGGATGCCTCGCTTGGTTGATTTGGTATTGATGGACAATATACTCGGTTTTTGCCACGAAATCTACTTTCAAAAAAAAAAGTATAGGATTGGATTGGATGTACTGTTGAACTTGCCTAAGTCGAATCCAAATGGGATTCAAAAATTGTTTGACTTACATAAAATTCAACTTTCACATCATTAAATTAATGGAAAACACAACAATTTGGTATGTAAAATAAGATCGACTTATTTGAGTTTATAGGCAATGTTGACTGAGGCAAGTTGAACTGTATTTAGTGAAAACACCAAGGATAACCTACGAAAGTTAGAAAAAGACATACTTCTAGTGGGGTCCTTCTGGTGGTTATTGGGCAGTACACCAAGCGACAATCCCTTACTCTTTTCCAAGTAGTGTACTGCATCCGAAAGACAGTGCGAATGAAACTTGCATTTCAGCCCTCCAGCTGAAACACAAGGAGACCAGCCATGGGAATTGAACCAAGAACCACGAGATCTTCATGGTTCAGGGCACACACAGTGGCTTCCACCAGTTTAGCCAACTGAGCTAAGCTGGAGTAAATAGCAATGAAATGATAAAAACCATAAATTTTTAAAAGTAAATTTAAAGCTTTTTTTTTTTCAAATTGCTGTTTTAAAATTTATGTTTCATATATAAATATATATATATATTGGATTGGGTTTATTCATTGTAAACACCAAGGATAACCCATGAAAGTCTAGAAGAAGTGGGGTCCTTCTGGTGGTGATTGGGCAGTACACCGGGAGACAATCCCCTACTCTTCTCCGAAGAGTGTACTGTGTTCTTTAACATGCACATGGGCCATAATGCACACGGGACCAACAGCTTAAACGTCTCATCCGAAAGACGGTGCGCTATTGTAACTTGTATTTCACCCCTCCAGCTGAAACACAAGGAGAGGCAGCGATGGGAATTGAACCGGGGACCTAGAGATCTCCATGGTTCAGCGCACACACAGTGGCTACCACCAGATTAGCCGACTGAGCTATATACATCATAAATAACATTATTCTGAACAATTAACATTCTCAATTCACCAATCAAGACATACTAGCAATTGCACAATATATATCAAGGGTGAATGAACCTGAATAAATGTATGTTGCCAAATTTTACAAGCAATTTGCCAAAACAAGTTGGGAAAATCCAAAGGTCACAAGTGTTTGTTTTTAATCCTCTGTCCCTAACCAATTGTATTCTAAATTGTTGTCATGGTTACTGAATGAAATGAAAATAAACTTGAGATAAGCTGATAAAACAAGTAACAACTTTATAAGTTTTTGGCAGTGAATTCCGAAAGAGTGGCAGCAAAAATTTACATTGCCCCAGTCATTATTATTGGACGATGGCACTCTGTTCATGTTTATATATTTTTATTTAATGTAAAATGCTGTGTAATTTAATATAATGGATAAATTTCATTGTAAAACATTGTACGTTCTAGAGGCTGCAAGCACCACTTTAAGGTGTTATGGCAGAATGTTGCTGTTGCAGCCCCTGGGCCTTTGAGCCAAATAAATAAATGAAATGAAAATATGTTTAATAATAGGTATGTATAAGAAGATGAAATAATTTTGCAATCTCTACATACCGTCCATTACGTGGACTAGGAGTCGAGCTTCTAGATTCATTCATCTCAGAGGCTACGCATGGCCCTACCCTGAGAGCTGCTACTCCACCTATTGCACTGTAAAGTAAAGCAAAATACAACAACTAAAATAGATGTTCCTACAGAAACCTTGAATTGATATTTCATTCCATAACATTTACGGACAAAATTTTTCAAGCAATTCTTTTGCAATGTTTTTACATCTTAAGAGTACTGTATAAACAATGTATTTGTCATCACACTTAAAAGTTCCTGTATATTAAAAGTACATTAAAACAAGATGGCCCCCATCTTCCCTTACAGCCCTTATTCATCCTTCCGCAATTACTGTAGACCTTTTTCGAGTGACAATCAAAATTACTAATGGACCAATCACAACAGGTCCAGGAAGGAATGTGTGTGTCCTACATTTCTGCGTAGGTTTTTACATTGTCGTTTTGTTGGACCTTATCAACAATATTCAAAGGGCGGAGCTTAAGCAGAAAAGTCCATAGCATGTTAATTTATGGTTATTTTTTACATGTCACCACAAAAAAAAGATTATATATTTATTTAGTGAACTATTTTTCAAGTAAACATTTGTTCTACTATACTCAACATTTTGATTTAATTTCACAACCTCAAGTAATTTACCGCAATGACCAAGCAACGATTGGATTTTAAGAGAAAAAGTATCATTCTAAATTTATTGAAAACCACTTGACGCAAGACAACTGATCGCAAAAGCAATCACGTAAAGCGCTCTGTCAAGACTATCAAATTGTATTTGACACAAACATGTTGGTACATGCCTAAATATGGTCATGATCACATCACATTATGACCATATATAGGCACATGACTATATGTGATGTGTCACCACGAAATGAGATGCATCGTTGGTGTGAAATCATATAGAGATATTCTCCAAAATAGGTCAAAGGCAACATTTTTACAAAATTTTGATTTTAATGTTTTTGAATAACTTGATACTTATATTTTATGATTGTGTACTTTTTAAGTGAATTTTCTTACTAAAACTGTGTTCTTTTTGCATATTCCTTAATTCTAGTCCTATTATTTGTACAGGTTAGTTTACCTTTGAGGCCGATTTTCTCAAAACCTGGTTCTCATACACCTAAACTTTAAATGCTAACATCTCTGGATCTATTTATCCTAGGGAAGCCATTCAAAGATCACATTAAAGCTTATAATGTGATCTATCAAAATGTAATATAAACTAATTTTTTTATTTTCTAACGATGAGACTCATTTTGTAGTGAGACCTCACATATTATGGACATACAACAGTTTTTTGTCAAAGAAAATTTGATAGTCGTAGAGATATTTCATATGTTTATACATAAGTTAGTATAATACATACTCCAAGTATCGAAATGCACGCCATCTTGTTGGGATTCAATATTTCAACATTAATTATGTCATCATCAGAAATGTTTATACATGTGACATATCTTTGAGGACTATCAAATGGCATTTTGTAATGCCAACTGGAAGACAGCCACTGCTAAATATATTATGCATCTGTGGGTTGTGCACAAGACAATGACTTTTCTTGGAATTTCAAATTTCATGACTCAAAGTAGGATAATAACATAATATTATTTGGAAATTGTTTAAATATTGTAGGAACTGAGCCAGTAATGCAGAAGCTGACAAGTTTACTGCTTCATGCATATGTGGCAAAGACAAGCCAAACCAGTCACTCGTCGCAAAAATCGACTTTTAGTTATTAATGCAGTGTTAAAGAGTAAAATGGGAGCTATAAAATGGTATTAAAGAATCATTTAAATCTGACATTTCGTTATGAAATTACAGGAGTCTACATATACAGCTATTTAAAGAACAATATTTGAGAAATCAGCCTTTAAAGTTTACGATTTCAGGCATTTCTTAGTCAGAAACCCTCACCAAATTGTTACAAAATTTTATTTAACACTCAAAGTGGGGAAAATAACAGCATGGCATGATGTATAGATATATAAAGGTTTAGTGCAATAAAATAGATTTTCAAAATTTTGACATTCCAGTATTTTTTGGCCATTATCTCTGAAACAGGATTTGCGACGAGTAACTGGTTTGGCTTGTCTATTCCACATATATTGCTTGTGTAATGTGATGAGTATGAAAGTTGTCACTCTTTATTCTATTATAATTCCATAAAGGAAAGAAAGCACTTATAAGGCCCAATCTGGACAGGCAAAAGCTTTTTATGTGTGTTTTTTTTTTCTTGTACTTCAATAATAAATATAATATTTTTATTTGATTTATGTAGACCTATTTTTTTATCATTATTATTTCTCATGAGCATCATGAAATAATATACAGTATTTTGTCAAGTATCCTTACAAATGAACATTTGAGAAATTTTATACAATCTTTATATAATTGCTTAGACAAGAAATTGTACTGTTGAAATAATTCAATCAATATATCAATTAAAAAAAAAAATCATCTTCCTTCATTTATTCATAAATCATCTTCATTCATTTATTCAATGATTAACTATCATTTCATTTAATGATTCATTAATTATCCATTCATTCAATTCAATCAATAATTTATCCTTTCAATTCATTTATCCATCCATCCATCCAACAATCAGTCTGTCCATTCATCTCTCTATTCATTCAATAGATTACTACTGTAAGTTCACAAAACATGAAAGTAAATAACAAAACATTAAAGTAAATAACAATAAAACAATAGGTGGTGACAGCTAAGTATAAACATAAACATTTACTAAAGAAATAAATTCACTTACCCTTCTATTTCTTTTGCTTCATTTGGCATGGATGTTGGTGGTTTGTCCCACGAACTGCTAGAGCTGAGGGAATCACTGGAATTTCCACTACTACCACTGTCACTGCCAGGCCCTTGATGTCTTCCCCAACCTCCAGGTGGTGGAAACCTCCGGCCTAAGGCAGGCGAGTTATCACTGGAAGTCGTCTCTGGAGCACTGCTGTCTATACTTGCCATTTCTAAAAAGCAATATTTATAAATAACATTGAAACATCAGTCTACTGAATGCTTGGACATATACAATGGATGAATGCTTGGACATATACAATGGATGAATGCTTGGACATATACAATTTGTATTAGTCAGTAAAGTGACATCTATTTCATTATTTATTATACAAAACCTAATATATAAATTATAATAATATACCTGACTGACTACAAATACAAATATATTTTAAAGTATATATTCTAATGTGTTAAAACTATAATTATTAAAAGTAATATTTTTTAATTGCATCTAGACATGCAGATTAATTTGCTGTATATAGGCCAAACACAGTAATTCACTTATTCCTAGAAAATACAATCATTAAGAATGTCACCTCGACTTCGCTTGGTTTGTCTTCCAAAGATCCTGTCCCATTTTGATTGGTTACTGTTCACCTGAAGTGGTACACCGACATTAGCTCCACTTGCTTCTTCCTCCCAGCCTGTCACCATAGGAGCACCTTTCCTGGAGTTTTCTTGTGGTAACATGCCTTGTATGTGTTCCTCTTCCGGGCTAGCCCTTGGGCTTGCCCCTCTTCCTTCATCTGCACCATCACAATCGGATAGCCTAGCTCGAGCGCCTCCCTTAAGCCGTTCACTACTCTGTTTTCCAGTCCGGCCTTTATTATCGCCTGTCTGACTGCCTTTCCTCTGTTCATGTGTGCTTGGATTTCTACTATCCGGACTTAATGCTGCGTTGTTCCGGTGATTCTGGTCCCTTCTCGAAGCCTCGTTAATTGTCGGCCTTGATGCCGTGGATAGGAATGAGGGTTTGTTTGGAGCTATTGAGCTTGGAATACACTGTACAACCTTTTGAGCTGGACCCAAATGTTGCTTATCTAAAAATGCATCTAATATCTGAAATATAACATGAAAATGAAAAAGATTTATGTCTAATATGTGACTGGCTCTGGCAAATCTAGAAGGAAAAATTCAAAACTGAGTTTTTGATGTTTTTATGTTCTGCATGAATTATTTTTTAAAACAGTGTTTATATGATGGGAATTGGTTATGTATTAGCAAGGTTATGAATATTAATTGAATGGATATCAGCCATGTAGGTTTTGAAAAAAGAGCTTCTAAAGATTCCAAAATCAATAATTTATCAAGATTTGTATTTAAAAAACAATTTTAATATACTTCTGAGTCAGATTTAGTGATTGATATTTTGCAGAAATGTTCTTCAATATATATCTCCGTTTATAAATTTGAACAACATGAAAATGTTGATTCTTGAACATTTCGGGTACTTAGAAATTGCGACAAACGGCAGGTTTTTGCCAGAACCGGTCATACTGTATAAGGAGATTCAAGAATTCAAGAACAAAGCTTTATCCAGGGGCGGATTTAGGGCGAGGGGGGGGGGCAGCCCGGCCCCAGCCCCCCCTTTTGGGAGGTAAAAAAAAATAAAAAAATAAAAAATGAAGAAAGAAAAAGAAAAAAATGATAGCCCAGAATGCCTCAAAAGTTATGTTTGGGCATCTAGAACACAAATATTTTGCGGGGGAATTCCCCCGGACCCCCTAGGTCAGTGTTGTCTCGATCAGCCCAACTTTCGGCCCCCCTTTCAGCCCCCCCCCTTTTGGACATTTCTGGATCCGCCCTGCGTTATCCACTGGTAGGTCCAGTTGTATTGAGTAAATGTCCTCCCATTTCCCCTCCATGTTTTTACTGCTAAAAAATAGATTCAAAACTTTGACCCTGTATTATATTATAATACAATAAATATAATAAATGATATTAATAGTTATAGTTACATTAACGTAAATACGTCAATAAACTAACCCGTCTGAGCGGTGTTTGGTCATCCCTGTAGTGCATCAACATAGACAAGGCTAAGTCCCCTCGTTGTCGACGAGTGCCCTCACAGAGCAGGGGGTGAGCTGCTTCAGACACATTGCTCTTCATCGCAAGCGCCGACACTGCAGCCTCAAATCCTAGAACCTCATCTCCCTGCCGATGCTCAGTTGTCAGGATTGATTTCGATGGCGATCTTGATGAAGATGCTATGAATAATAAAGAAAAATAATATACTGTATTTATTAATAGCTGAGACAGAAATTATATTATTTCAGAAGCTTATACAGTAGTGCACCCTCCAATTCAAGACTGAACACCCCCCACCCCCACTAAATCTGACACCCCTCTAATTCAAGACCACTTTTTCTAAGAACCAAATAACAATCTTCAATCTATTAACACTACGCTAATCCCCTGGATTGGAGGGCAAACTATATATAAAAAATTATTTAAAAAAAATAAAATCAAAAATATATCAATTCATGTACAAATGTACAATACTAGATGATTTACAGCGAAATTATATTAAACATGTGATAATAAAAATTGAATTGCATTTCAAATAGTCATATTTAAAATTTTAAAATAAACTATGCCAAGAAATGTTTTGGAAATGAAAACTATTACCAGTTGATGTTAAACACATTGCCTCGAATATGTACCCTGCCAGCATTAGTGGAAGAACCCCTTCTCCGTGTTTCTGCAACGACCAGTTTCGCATTTGCTCTGAGAGCTCACGTAACTGCTCCATTTCCGGAGCACCAAGGGGAACTCGTTTTAAGAGTACAACCAGTTCGGATTCTTGGTTCGCTAATTTCACCTATGTATGAACAGCAACGCATTTGATGTAGATTAAATTCTTTTTAAATGTGATCTTTTTATATTTGAATACAACTGAGAGAAATGCACATATAAACTGTACAGTGAGAACATGGCTTTGTTGTGAGGCTTATCCACATAGGCCTCACATATTACATATTAATTCTACTTTTGTACCTTCTTTGGTTAATACCTTTGTCCTAAATGCTGGTACAACAAACTCATAACATTACTTTTTCAACAACTGAAAGCATCAACACTCAATAAACCGAATCAACGAATCATCCAATAATTTTCTACTTAATTAAGTTTCAAGTATTGTCTTAAATCTTGTAAAATTAGTTTTGTCCAAACTGCAGTGTCAGCCTTATTATGAACAATCCTCACATTTCTAGTAAAGGCAGTTCTGTGGTCAGTACATTCATAATAGACTTGTTTCTCTAATTTTTTTTATGTGTTTCAAATGATTACTTTCTTTAATTTGATGCACTTAAGCTTTTGCTAAGTATTTTAATCCAGGACTAAGAAAATCCTTCCCTCATCATTACAACTCTGCGAAGAAAAGAGCATACTACCTCAAGTCCTTTAGTAGAAGCTGGTTGTCTTGTGATTTGTAAGCCCAGTAAGCCAATCTTAAATGCTAAGTTGTGGCACTCAGGTTGTTCAGCAAGAACACTGCATAGAAAGCTGATCTTGGAGAGCAGTTGGCTTGCTAAAGTGCTCTGTTGGTGAAGGTAACGCTTCTTTCCCTACAAAATAACGACAAAATGTATTGCAAATCAGTACCAATTTATTTTCTTACCTATTTTGTTAAGTTGCACTGTGTACTTAAGTATTTTATTGTTATTTCTTTTTCTTTCACAATTAGATTACTACACCAAAGACCACCAAAATGCTTGTTAGGGTGAAGTACTGTTGTACAAAACATCCATGGTTTGGCAGGGTACCACATGACACTGCTACTGTATGTTACATAAAAGTAACTACACCAACCGGTCGAGAGCTAAGCCAAATTTCCCATAGCTTTTTAAAATTTATCAAAACCTAAAGCAAGGTAGAAATACAGACACAATGTTGAGAAATTAAGTTTATATTGGACTTCTCTGTGTTGCAATTTGCCTTGCTAATCTGAGTGTCTTAAAATGTGGGTGGGGACTGATGGGGACACAAAAGTGAAGTGGGGGGGGTGTTGCTTTTAGAACAATTTTGATTGGGGGAGGGGGGAAGCTGGGAGGGGCACACAAGCATTCTTAGGAGGAGCATGTGCTCTCCACACACCCCCTACATACGCCACTGGCTATATACTCTCATGACAACACTGTAAACCAAGCTTTTCTTTAAACATTTAAACCCAAACATCTGTGCAGAGAATGTTTACCCTGCCTTTCTTTAAACCTAAACATCTGTGCTTCAAAGATTTGGTGATGGTTATCGGTAGAGGTTGTGAGGATTACCAAGGCCTTGTAACAGGAAGCTCATTTCCTATCAACCTTACAGTGTGCATTCT